AGGCTGTTTGCGGGAAGCTGTGCAGGGGTCTGGGCTGGCTGGCCTTGCCATGGAGGGAAGGTGTTGCCCTCATCTCTTCTGGACCTCCAGGAGATGGCCAGACCTCAGTGGGCATTACTCAGGGCTTGAGTACGAAGTGGACCTAAGACTGGAGGAATTTTATGTGAAATCATGCTGTTCCCTGGAGGTTCAGCAAAGGGATGAGGCAGGGTTGCAAGGCAGAGCCCTGATAATCCCCATTTGACTCCCCCAGACGTGGGGGGGCTGTGCCATGGCCACCTCCCTCCCTGTGCTTCTACCAGCTGGGGTGGGCAGGAGGCTGGTGGTGCTAGGTAGCCAGCAGCTATCTGGGCAGCCGTCTGCAAAAGGATTTCCCTGCGGTTCGCTCCTCGCTGGCCACTTTGATATGTTTGAGTCTCAATGAGATTTCCCTGCTCTGAATGATTAATCTGGAGCGGACGGCGCTAGATGAGCTGGGAAGGGTTTGACAAGGTTACGCTGGTGGCTCTGTGCCCGCTCCTCCTGCGGGCCAGCCCTGAGCAGATGGCCCCATCGAGCCCTGCCGCAGCACGGGGCTTGGGGACAGGCTTCGGCAAGCAAAGTCCCCAAATACCTGGCCATGGCCCTGGGGCAGCCCCATCCCGGTGTCCCAGCCAGCCGGTTAACCGGTTAACCATGCCTCATGGATAGGCCTGATCGATCCTTTGCACTTCTAATCTGCATAATTGCACAAAGAGATGGAATCAGAGGACAGGGAGCTGGCAGCAGGCAGCGGCGTGTTCCTGAACAGGAGGGATGGATTTTCTGGGGTCTTTATTCCCTTGCATCTCTCTCATCCATTTGTGCTCCTTTCCTGGGTCTCCTCTTGCTGTGGGGGCACGGGGGGATTGTGCCTTCCTTGCAAGATGCTGATAAAATGCTCGGCGTCACGTGGAAAACCCTTCTCATCGCTGCTCACCACTGGCGCTCGGCCAAGTGGGTTCATTAGGGGGTGATGTGCACTCTCTGAAGAAGCGAGACACAGGCAGGCTTTAGGGGAGCTTGAGACCCAAAGCTGAGGGCACAATCACCCACGCTCCTTCCTGGACTGTGCAGAGAACAAGATGGGGGCCTGACCAGGCTGGAGTGAGGATGTTTTTGGAGGCTCATTTAGGTTGGTTTGGGTTCCCTGGCTGGCTTTGCAACCCGGTGGTGTTGCCTTGAAGATGCTGTGCCCAGCCCCAGGAGCACCCGGGACCCCAGCAGAGCGATCTGAAGCCGTCCTGCCCCGTTCCCCAGCTCCCGATGGGTGCCACAGCGGAGGCAGCAAAAGCCAGTGCAGCTCTAAGCAAATCCCGGTGTGATGCCGAGCCACCTGAAAAACCCTCTTCTCTCTTTCTCTCCCTCACTGAAGGTGATCACCATTTTCACGCTGGTGGAGGTCGTGCTGACGTCAGACGGCGCCCCATTGAAGTACAGCGCCCTGCTCAAGAGACCGAGCTCAGAGAAGTGAGCACCCCGGGCTGCGTGTGCTCCCCGCTGCCGACACTTGCTCAGCTCCCAGTTCCCACACCAGCACCCGCTGGGGATGGAGGGAACCCACAAGGAGTTTGGGGTTTTGAGTTTTAAAACGGATGCCGTTTTATTTCTGGTTTGGATTTTAACTCTGGCTGGGAGCAGGGCTCAGGGCTTGAGCCTGCCCCAGGCAAAGCATTTCTACTCCTGGATATTTTTAGCTTGATGCTTTCTGGGTTTTTTTTTTTAAGGTAGCGGTGTCCATCCCCAGCCACCTCGGGTGCCCGTGGTGAGGGCTGAGTGGAGACATGTGCCCCTGGGAGTGAAGAGGGGCTGGCTTCGCCGTCCCAGGTGGGATGTGGTGGGACATGGCCGTGGGGCCGTGCAGGAGGGTTTCTTGCAGGGTCGTGTGTCATGTAATAAAAGCTGGGTCAGCAGCTGCATGGGGGCCTCGCGCAGGTTTTATTTTGTCTCCTCTGCATTCCCCTGGATGGGAATCCCGGCAATAACTCATCTCCCAGGCAGCCCCATGCCCTTCCCTGCTGCTGCTTCGCGGGTGTTGTGAAATCCAAGCGGCCTCGCCGCCTCCCCCAGCCCCAGGATGTGCTCGGCCAGAGAGTGCGGGGGATTAGGTGGATGTGTGCTCCCAGCTCTCATTCCAGCGGCTGATCCCTCAGTCTGAGCCTTCACTGGGCGTCACCGGGTGTCTGCTCCAGCCCCTCACACCCTGGCCTCCGGCCTAACCCCACCCAGGGACCCCGCAGCACCATGTCCTTGCTTCTCCCTGCCGCTCAAGAGGGCGTCCAGCCCCTCATGGACTGACCAGCCGCTCTGCAGTCTCCAGACACCTCTGCCTGCTGCCTGCCCCCATGTCCCCCACCCGAACCGTGCAGGTTGTCTCCAGGGGCAGAGGCTGGCTCTGCTTCATCACCCTGGCAGAGATGGGCAGCCACGAGTGGCGGCTGGTGGAGGGATTGATGTCTGGCAAGAAGGAATGGATCCATCATGCCAGGCAGGGAGAGGGCCCTGCTTCACTGTGCCTCATTAGTGGTGACAGATGTGGCCCTGGCACGGACACGTCTGCCCTTTGCAGGAGCCAGGAGCTGGCCAAACCAGGGCTCAGGATGGTGGATCAGGCCCTGGGAGGGGTCAGGGGTACACACAGGAGCTGGCGAGCTGTGAAAGCCATCAGGGTCACCTGCAGTCCCCAAGGGTTGTGCTGCTGGTGCCATCCTTCCAGATGGCCTGGTGCAACCACACGTGGACATCACCTTTGGACACGGGAGCAGGTAGGAGCAGCCTGTTCCTCCCTGGGTCTCCTGCTCTGCGCCCAGGTGCTGGTGACACAGGGCTGTTCCCTGCCCACAGCAGGTACCTCACTGTGTGGCAGTGTTGGCACAAGCTGCCCCAGGGCCTGGCAGGCAATGTGTGACTGTGTCCCCTGGGAGAGGGGACCTGAGGACACTGACACCAAAGGCAAGATGTCCTCCCCCTACTGCTCAGCCCCATGTCCCCGTCCTTGTGTTTGTCTCAGGGGAAACAAGGCTGATCCAGCCCGGCCCAGCTCAGCCTGTCTGCAAAAACAGCACTTTGCCCTGCACCCTCCCTGCCGC